CGCTGGGCGAGGCGCTCTTCGGCGCGGCGCTGGACGCGCGGCGCTGCGCGCGCTTCTGGCGCCTCGTGCAGCGCGGCGTGGCCGCGCGCGACGGGCTCTGCCGCAAGAGGGGCCGCTACCTGCTGCAGCGCGCCGTGGACGCGGCCGCCGCGCAGCGCGCCCAGCTGCGCTGCGACACGCGCGGTACGGCCGGCCTCCCCCTCCAGGCCCTTCCTCCTTTATCACTGTTTTCCCTCTCGTTGCAGCCGTAGGAAGGCGTGGGGAGGCCTGAGTTGGCTCCTGGTGGGCAATGAGAGATTTCTCTCTTTAGACGCTCCCCTCAGAGCAAACGTTGGGTGGTGCAAGGGTTGCGCGCACACTGTAATGGGTGCATTGCYTTCCTTCGGGAGCCTGTGTTGGGCAAGGGAAAGCCCAGCCTGCTTCAAGGGGCTGCCGCGCATGAGGCCCCTGAGCTTTTATTGTGGCAGACAGGGCCGGGCAGGAGCATTCTGCTCAGGGATCCAGTGTAACAAGAAATGCACAAGGAGAAATGTTACCATAGGGCAGACTCCCCCAGTGGGTTTGTGGTTGGACTTGATGATCCTGAAGGTCCTTCCCAGCCATAATAATTCTGTAAAAGTGAGTTCTGGCTCCTGTAGAGACTGGGACACAGGGTTTGAGCCTGTTGAGTTTCAATGTGCCCATTTTTCTGAATGGGTTTAGGGGGATCAGGGTGATTCCTGAGCTCTCTTGTGATGTTTTGCTTTCCAGTCCTTTGAGCTGACTTAGAAAACACAAGAATGACTGAATATGTTGCACCAGCTGCTCCATATTGGACACTGAGGCAAAGTTTTTTTTATTTATGTAGCAGTGAGGCAGGGAGTAAAACAAGGTTCACCCTCTGCCCTTAGTCAGGATTTTGCATTTAATCTGTTGCCTTGTTGATGCTACAGGACTTGTGTTTAAATAAACTTTGCCTTTTTTCTTTTTTTTTTTTTTTTGTCCCTAGAATCAAATCTGTTTTGGTGGTCTGTTGAGGAGAGTGAAACACTTCTACAGTTTTGGGAAACTTACATTTTGATAATGGAAACTTTGGAAGGAAACCAGGTAAGAGCATCTTAAAACCTACGCTTATCATACTTTATGTGATTCATTATTTTTGGAACATACACTGTAGGTATTTATTTAGATAAAGATTGTATAACATTTAAGGATGTTTACATACATTAAGAAGCATTTTATGAAGTTTGGAATATGGAGCATGTGTCATTTGTTTGGGACAGGTTTACAACTTTCATCTGTCTTTGAAACTACTTGTTTAAAACAGTAAATGGAATTAAGAAAGGAAAACTTGGATTTCAGCTTGTTGTAAGGCCATGGGTATCTTACATTGTAGGGTTGTTGGGGAAAATCAGAGTATTGCACTCAGTAAATTCTTTCAATAGAGGGCACTAGATCCTTAAAGCACAGTGAAAATGATGTTGCGTGACTGAAAATTTAGTGCTCTTGACAGAGTTTTTTTTTTTGTTTGAAAGACCCGTGTTGTAATTTATATGAATAAATCAATTAGCAGTTAGAAAGTTTTATTCCTGTGATATAGTAGCATAAAAGTAGATTGTATTTTTTTTCTTCAGTGCTAAACTAAGATCTTAACACACAAGTGCTACGTACTAGGATCAGTTGCACAAGTCAGAGAATACATATCTATGTGATTACATTGCCAAAWAATTTATGAATGCTCTTGGTAGTAAATTCTAGTCCGTGATTGAATGTTTAAGCTTAGGCTTGAGATATAAACTGCTGGTGTAACATCTCATTTACATTTCAGATCCATGTCATAAAGCCAGTATTACCAAAGTTAAACAGTTTATATGAGCTCGCTATATCAGGGAAAAAAGGTAAGACATAACTCTTCTCAAACGTATTCTGAACATTAGACTGTGAAGCCTGGATTTTTATTTTCTTTCTTTTTTAGTGGCGGCTCTTGGTTATGTTTTGTTTCTCAAATGAGCAGATTTCTGGATGACCATTGACATCATTTGCAAGTCTGTTCTGCACATAGGTAGCTTGGCAAATATGCACAGGAAGGACCATTCTGCTCAGGGATCCAGTGTAACAAAAAATGCCCAACAGGAAATCTTAACATATGACAGAATTACTTACTSCAATATCATGAAATATCTTTCTGTCAACTAAGGCCAACAGAATGGGTTTTAGGTAGTACAATTTGTTAGAAGTTAGAGTTCACAAGATTTGTAAAGTAGGAAGATGATGAACTGAGTGTTGAAGATAAATGTTATTGGGACAAGAGCCCGTGCAGAAGAGGATACATTGTTCATATCATAGTTTTACATTCTAACTACTAAAATCAGAGAGTAAGTTTAAAAAACAACAAATATTTGTTGTATTAGAGATATTTTAGGATATTTTTATAAACCATATAACGTTAGTCATATCCCAGTTTTTGTTAACTGGGATAATCAGTAGTTTGGGTGTTGGTTCAGTGCATTTTTTTGACGTTTACTGCTGCAGAAACAAATGTGCTGCTGTGTCACTGTTRTTTCTATACTGGTTCAGAAGAATTTGCTTGTGTCACAGATTGCTGGTTGTTTCATCCATCTTGGCACATGTGCATCTATAAAAGAATGTTTGAGAGCGAGAATAAAACATTGATGAAGGAAGGCATTCTTCATTTTCTGGAGCTTTTTGAAACCAAGCATCTTCCAAATCCCCTTGAGTTTTCAGAGGTAAGGGTGCTTTCCCTGTTACTTGCCAGAACTAGGAGATATTTTACCTTGTGGTTTCTATTACTTTATTACCTCAGTAGTGCTGATAGGAGAGAAATTCTTTTAAAATGCCCTTATATTTAGCTGTGTGAGAGTGAAAGTAATATTTGTAAGCATGTCAAATACAAAATTACTTGGAAAAATGGTGGCCCTAGTGGGAATACTTGTTAAAGTGCAGTCATTTATTCCCCATGTTTTAAACTAATGCTCTCTAATTGAAGCCAGCACTGTGTTCGTTGAACGTTTTTACCATGTGTGAAAACGCTGAGGTGTAGGTGGCAGCAGGGAATATTGATGTTACAGATTTCTGGAGCCTCTGAACCCCTCCAGAACTGTTGATTGTTTTTACTGGGCAGAGTCTTAGCGCTTGTCCTTGTTTTCTTTTGGCAGTTTGTTATTGGACCACTAATGGATGCTCTCTCAGAAAGTTCTCTTTATAGCAGGTAAGATACTGATTATTAAATATGTTATTGGAAATCAAGTGTAATAATGTTATAATGTTGATTTCAGTATGTTGGTAAAATCTCATATGAATCAAAGTACATTAATATACAAATCATGTTTGCGAAATTCCTTCATAGGAGAAGAATTCCTCAGGAAAGGTGGGTAGCCATGAATAGGGTGAAAGGGGTTGAATTTCATCCTATCAAGAGCAACATAAGGATACTTCAAAGGTCCCATATCCACCTAGAGTTAAAATATTTATCTAGAAAAAAAAAGTCAGATGTAATAAAAGAATAATTATAGTTTAGTGACTTTTTATGTTCTCTGAAAGCATGTATCTGAAAGCAGATGAGAGGTATGTGTTTGGGTGTAAAGCGAATATGCAAAGTTGTTACAGTTAATGTAATACCTATCTCATGACTGTCCTATAATAGTTAAGAAATCCGAGGCTTCAAATGTAATGTAGGTGATGTCTGCCCATCTCGTGGAATATTTCTTTAATCTTTGCTTAAAGCTTCTTKTGCTGTTCAGTAGTTTTATTTATAGAGACCTTAGAATTTGTTTCAGAGAGAAGTCTGTGCTTCTTGGCACACTTGTATAGGTAATTTCTGTGTTCATTGCTCCCCCAGACAGATTAAGCACATTCACTCTGCTTCTAATCACCTTGTTGCAGAGGCCTTTTTAGCCAGAGGCCTCTGTCATGCTGGGGCTGCCCTGCATCAAGTCCATCTGGCAGTGCAGTTTCTTGCTGTGGGCCCAGAGTGGGGAACTCTCCATGGCAGGCAGCTTTGCCTGAGGCTGCACCTGAAAGCCTGAGTGTGAAGATGCCACACGACATCCCTGTAGGTGACCGGGGAGATGCTTGCTCTTGGGACCTTCCCAGTCCTCCCTGTGTTGGCTGGATGCTGTGGGGAAAATGGGCTGTGAAGAAAGCAAACTCATGTGCTCCATCTGTGTGCCCTACTGGAGCAGTCTCTGGAGTGAATTAACCACTGAACTACCCTTTGCTTTTGTTCAGGGGCAATCAGAGTTGAAGCTGTTAGCATAAAAAATGTCTATTTGATGTTTTAAAACCCAACAGGACACCAGGCCAGTTAATGGGAGCCTGTTCTCCTTTAGGATTGAAGTTACAAAAATTCTTGGCCACTTACGTCATGCTCCTTCCAGATGAAGAAAAAGGTATGTTTGAATTTCTGTTGGGTTTATTTGTTTCTTTCTTTCTTTTTTGTTTTTAATAAATCAACTGGAAAGCATGGATCCATTTTTCATGTGAACATTTAACATTTTACATTTCATGCAGACATTTATAAAAATAAAAAAAAAAAAGCAACCTTTTCTGAAAAGTTCAACTACTGGAATATGATTGAAATATACTTAGAAATAGAAGGTATCTTTATAAGTTTTATTTAGTATTTATCTGGCTAGCCATAAAGCGAGGCTCTTCTCTGTTGTGTGTTACTGCACAATAAAGTGATGTTGCTGTGTATGTTATTACATGATAAAATACACTGTATTTTAACAATTCATAAATATTTGATGTGTTTTTCCCTTCAGCTGTAAGTTAAATAACAATTTGTAAGCCTCCCTGTTTCAAGGCAAATCTTTCATATTTAGCCTGAGCCATGTAGAAATGATCTTAAATGTGCAGTGTGGATGCATCATGGCATTTTATTGCTGGTAGCTTTGTTATTTAAATACATTGGAGAACAAGAAATCACAAGTCTGAGTCTATGARAGCACAAGTCTGCACTGAATCAAGCTAATCTGATGAAGTATTTTTGTAATACTGGCAGCTTGCTGCGCAGTGGTGCTCGATGTTGCTGATGTAAATTTATATTTTCTGTTTGCCTTTATTTTTAAGGTAGTTTCTTGTTAAAGTTCATCCAGAAGATGACAAGTAGACATTGGTGTGCTGTCCCCATTTTGTTTCTTTCTATGGCACTGGCAAATATCCCTGCATGTAAAGTATTGGGTGCTGATGGACTTTGTGCTCTAAGGTAAAAAAGTTTACTTCGTTGGCTTGTTAACTTAATACATAAAGGGAAATGTGCTGAACATCTAGAAAACCAGGATTTCATCCATGTACATTATTTCTAGGAAGAAGTAGTTACCTGTGACAGTGGAAGGTTTTCTCTCCTTTGTCTTATTTCAAGTTTACAGAAGAAAACAGTTTAGTAACAACTGTATTTATCACAACATGACTTAATATATGTTTTGTATTTTACTCATTTGCCATCACTTTTCTGGTATCATTTTTCAGTGGTCTTCCATGCTTTCTGTTATGTATTAATCTTTGGGTTTGTTCTTTTCTAAGTATATTAAAACTTTTTTGTTGGAGCTGAGGTTACATCAAAGGTCAACCCACAAAATTGAAACTTGAAAGACCTGTAAATAAAAAGCTAGGCAAAAATTTAGGCATGCATGWTTTCAGTAATACCCACAGTATTTCCTAAGTGTCCTTTAATTTCATCAGGTAATAGAAATCAATAATTATTGCAGTTTAATCAATTTTAAACTTTGAGATAGTATTTTCCAGTGGTCTAAGGAATTGGGAAAAAGTAACTTTTGAAAAAAAAAACAATGAAACAGTGGTTGAGGCAGTTAGGCTTCTCTATGTATAAGAACGTGTAGAGTTTCAGTTGTGTCCTAGAGTGAGAATTTGGTGTCATATATATTCCTATATATGTGAGAAATGGAAAGGCAAGTATCTAATTACCATTTATACTGCTAGGCATGTGAACTTGTGGATTTTTTTCCACATTTTTGATCATGTTAGGTATATCTTTATCCACATTTTAATTTCATTTTTTGAACGTGAATTTGGAAATAGTCTTGGTTTTGGATTGTATGATGTTTAGGGCGAAGAAGTATTATTCTTTGTGGAATATATTTAATAAATACAATCTAATATATTGAAAATAGTTATCAAAATATGAAAACAGTTAAACTTCTTAAATATATATTTTCTGTGGTACATACTTCTATGTTTGCAGAGATGTCCTACAGTGTACTATGATTACACATCAAATTTTGTTGCGAGGAGCTGCTCAATGTTACCTTCTTCAGACAGCTATGCATTTGACAGATGTGGTGAGTTTTTCTTCCTAGGGTAATAACTTACCTCCTGTTGTGATGCTAGCAATCTTGCAGGCTAAGCAGTATATAAATTCTTATGCTAAATTGAACCTGGAACAGCTGATTCTGCTGGATTACTGATTTTGTTAGTGACTACTTCAAGTACAAAAATGTTTTTACTACTTAAGTGTTCAGTCAGCTTGTGCTAACTTTGTTTTCTTTAAAGTTCATTTTTCCTTTCCTTTTTCATGGATTCATTTATATTTTGGTGCATGGTTTCTATGACTAGTTCTACTGCTTACATAACCATCTTCTATCATGATATATATTGCATAAGCTTGAGTTTCAGCAGGTAACTAAATGAATTTCTGAAGTACTTAAGAGAATATAATATTTATAATAGCAGAATGGTAAAATTATAGTTGATGTTGAAATAGTAAGAAATGAGTTATTTAGTGGTCAAAGTGTTCGTGTTTTGATTGTCTTACACATTTTTTTTTCTCAAATAAGTAGACAGTCGGCATTCCCCTTCGATTATGGATTTGTGTGTTATCTCCTCTTGTTAGGAACATGTCAGCAGAATTTCCTATCGGAAGCAGAGAAATAATACTAGGGACTGAAGCTGTGCATGTGCTTTTAAAAGATGTCATCAGTGGATAGCCTTATTCTTTCAGTGGTTCATTAACTTTCAGTAGGTATTGGGGTTGATACAGTGCTTCGTAGAATGCACTTATGTTCTTTGATAAAGGTAGATTGACACTATGATGCAAAATACCAACCTGTGCTATGGAAAGGAAAAGGTCAATTTCTTACTTCTTTGTAAGAACCTTTGCCAAATGAAAGCAAACATCCCTAGTCCTCATTTAGGTATTACCAGTTGTATATTGTTTTGACAACAWTTGTACCTTGGTGGCTTTCTTTAGGAGAAAGTTTCCCTCCCAGAAGTGGCAAGCTTTCTCATGTCCCTTCGACCAGAAGAGTCCCTAAGGAGAGATACTATGCTGTGGATGGAGGTGAGCTGAAGTTCCATTTGTGTTCRTCACATGTCTTCCAGCACCTGTCCAAATGCAGGATTTGTTATTGCTAACTTAATAGTTAAACTAGTTAGCTCTCTACTTATTTATTGTACTGATGCATTCTGGAAGTACTGGATGTGATATGAAAGTGTGGTCATATTCAAGTGCAAATCAGAATCAATTCTTACTCAGAGTTTTGGTCCCTTAATACTGGTCCTTCAAGAGACTTCAGTGTGTTCAGTGTTTCTTCATCTTCTGCCTCCTTTGCTGTTACTGTAGGAACTGAGTCAGTGTTTGGGAATCGTGTAGTAGTCTGTGTAATCTCTCCTGTTAGGGATCCATGCTTACTCCTCAAGATGCTTGCCATCTTCATGGAGAAAGTACAAAGCAGGGCACCTTGTGGAATCCACAGAGCCACGACTCGGGCTTCTCTGTCTCCTCTTATTAAAAGAATGCAAGGTAGAGGTAACATCCTGAGATGAAGTCACGCTTGTCATCAGACTCTACAGGCAATTATTTCTGCATATTATAGTACACTATATATAATATCTTCTTTACAGCTGCTACTTTCTCTGTTTCTCCGCTTTCCCTTCAGCTGTCTATTGTAAAATTTCATTCGGTGGAAAAGAACAATATTTTGTAAGTCTAATTTATCTTTTGAGCTACAGCTGTGCATGCTTTCCCTTCCTCTTATTTTTGAATGGGCCCTCTGAGATAACGTGGATCCGAATAGTCTCTGAACGGGCCAGTATAAGTGCTAAAATTTTGTGTAAGAGCTGCCTCTGATTTGCGTGTTGTTTGGATGAATCCAGTGCTTGCAGGAGTAACAGTCATCTCCAGGGAAGAGCTGTGCCTAGCATGTCAAGTGAGACTGTTCAGAGGACCTATTCCTGTGTGTTTGAGGTGCACAATGGTGTGATAAAGTGTCAAAGAATAAAACTTCAGTTAGAGGGTACACTAGAATCAATTGAATAAGTAGCCATACTTTGGGGTACAGCAGTTTGCTATAGAATGATTTTGCATAGTGTCCTCTTGTTATGAATGCTGTATATGCTGTCTTATAACATTGGTTTTAGTGAAAGACTTAAATATATTTWAAAAAAATTAAAATGTAGCACTCGTTAGGTAATACTTAGCCATAGAAGTCCTCTGTGAAGTGAATGGATATTTACTAGTATTGCTATTTGTAAGATTTTTTTTTCTTATATTGGTACTAATAATCTCCTTTTTTGAGTACTCTGARTTACTTTCTGGAAAAAACTTTTTCCGTATTAAAGGGAAGTAATGTGTTAGGCCTCAAGGTAGCCCAAGTGAATACCTGTCAAAGTGTTACTTTGTTGGTACATTTTTTCATGTCTGACTGCTTTAATGTTTTAATGTCTTACGTTGGTCGAGTTCAGTTACTACCGAGCGGGCAGATATGTTTAAATAGTAACATACTGGTTTTAATTTAGCTTTGCAGTTGGCTGCAGGTGAATGACACATGTTTCAGAAAGTCTGTAAAATGTGATTTTGAGTGTCAAGAGATGTCATCACTGTGTTTATATGTGCGCAGTCTTGTGGGAGAGTACCTTAAGACACCAGTACCTGAAGGTAAGCTAGATGTTTAGCAATATTCATCTATTAAATATAAACAAATGAATAATTTTTTAAAAAATGAGAATCCTTTGGTTTTAGAGTAGTAATGTTTGCATTTTACCAGTTTATATGCAGTTTGTAGTGTCCTTCATTTATGAATTGTGCAAGGACTTTTTTCATCCTCTGCCACATTTTAGATGATTGTAACTTCAGCTGATCATTTTCTTTCAGAAGAGAATTACCATGCTATCTATGTTGTCTGTGCTTGGATCCTTTTAACTTGTGTAGTTCTCAATTATTTACTATTGAAATACTGCAAAGTTGGCAATTTATATGTTGCTTTGTCATAGCAAAAATCAAATGTCAAAAAGACTTCTAAATGTAAACATATAGCGTATGTACAAACTAGATCAGAATTTGCTGCTGATGAAAAGCTTCAGAAGATAATGCAGTCCAAGAAACTTTACCTGATTATGCTCAGAAATGTTGTAAGCATATTTTTRTTTATTGGTGTTTCAAAGTAATTTGAATGTTAGAAATTTTGGCCTGTCTTCTTCCTGGAAAATCTGTTTAATACTTTGCCACCGAATTGCAGATAATATTGGCAAACATCTATGTATTTCACCTTTTTCAAAATGATGCTGGCAACTTGTAGTTTGATAAGTGTCTTAATTTGTAAGCATAGGTTGATACTCATCTGTAGTTTGTAAACAGCTAGTTGGAAAAGAAAATATGCRTACCTGCCAAGTCCAGCTGCTTTGTGCTGGACCTTCACAATCTGTTTTGATTTCTAAATTGCCAAAGCCAAAAGAATGCCTACCAGTCAAAAAAAAAAACAAAACAAAAAGCCTCGTGTCACAAAAGAAGCTTCAGTTTAAGCTCATGTTTTATTTCCTTTTACAGAACTGGTTAAATTTACAGCTGGTGTTTCTCAATGTGCATAGCAGAGCTGTGCTCTTGCCTAACTTCATTTGAACACTTTGCTACACTTTAGAAAGTAAGAGGTGCCTATTGAGAGTCTGCTACTAATTATTGTTAGTTAAGCTGTAAAACAAAAGCTTAAAAATAATATGCAGATATTTTTAAATTCTGTGGAAGCCTTAAAATATCTTTAATCAGGAGAAAATTGCTTTATGCCTGACTGGTTTGAAGCTAAGCTTGTTGCAACAATGATACTGTTGGCTGCAGATGTGGAAGAGATGAGGAATAAATGCAGGTAAGTATAAATACCTTATTTTACAACTCTTTTTCTCAGTGCCCCTCTGTCTCCTTTCCCAGGGTCTGGTAAAAGCCTCTTTGTGTCAATCCGTTTATTTCAGAAGACTTTGGGTTCTGAAATATGCTATGAAGATCTCATAGTAGCTTAGAGCTTGTCTAACTGTGGATACTACTGCTACTGGGTAGCACTTGTAAAGATATTTAAGTGACTTAGAAACCTGTGTCCTGTTTCCATAAGTGACTTCAGCACTTAAGGTAGATGCTTGGAAGAAGATTTTCTGTTGATTTTTGTTTTTGTGTAGTGGAAAAAGCAACATAGAGTGGATTGAACTAAAGGCTTTCTTGAACCCTCTCCTGGATGTCTTGATGAAACTTGGCAGTAATGCTTACATACCAACACTGAAAACAGATAAAAGCCTACAGCTTCTGCTGAAGTTATTGCARACTCGTTCGTTAAAATGTTCCAATCTGCAAGATGGTTAGTGATATCTTCAGTATGCTGTCTCTTATGTTGACTGTAGTCTGATTAAAAACAAGGTATTTACTGTTTTTAAGCCGTGTTGTTAAATTAATACTAGCCTAGAAGTGATGAATGTAGAAGTTGACAATCTGACATATCCCTTAGGAAATTAAACCGTGGGCCAAATCGTATGGGGGCCCTTTTGAAGGTGTCTCAAGGTAGGGGAATTCAGAATATGGATAATACTTAAGAAAGCAGTCCTCACCATTAGAATKAGATTTACATTTAATTAGAATTTGGAAAATGTGACCAAACTACCAAAAGTTACAGACTTTGCCAATGTACAGATTCAGTAAATCATTTAGAGGCTTCAGAAAGTAGTACAAAAATCCTGCCTAACTTTCTTGCTTATTTAGATGCTGATAAAACCTGCCATCAGTATATAAAGCAGTTGTTTTGAACATACYCTCCTTTGAGTTGACTCCCAGATACTTTTTTTTCTCACGTAGGCTGTTTAGGCTTGCTCAGGTCCTTTCAGGATACTAGGCRTGATTCTAATGGCAGGCTTAGCTTGCTTGATTTAGTTTGATCTTGGCTAAAAGCAGAGGTGTCCTCCCATGCACAAAACTGTTCTTGTGATGTCCAAGAGTTTTGCAGCCTCAGCTTGCAGCACTTTCAGGAGTGTCCAAACAAAAGTTACAGTCCTCACTGTTTTTTTTAGTTGAAACTTGGTTAGTTTGTAACCAGATCAGGTTTATGAATTTTTCTTGAGAGCAAGTGAAAACAGCAACATCATTCTCACCATGGGTATGCTCAACTGGAAGAATAATAATCTTGGCCTTTGGCTTTTGCATCCCATATTATTTTTGAGTTTTTCCTCAGTCCAATAGTTTTAATACATAAATTGCAAAAGTCATTAAGGGATAGGAGCCAACCAATGACTGCGACTGCATCCCACTTCTGTTAAGATGTCCAAATGTAGCCTTGAAGCAAGTGCCTAAGCTCATTTGCAAAAGTGATTTGCTCAAACACAGGCACCCTTGAGTTCTAGCTGTTGGGCTGAAATTATGAGCATTTGTTATACAGGCTGTTTCAGGTACTATTGTGGTATGAGCTCTGAATGCAAAAGTAGATTAATTTCAAGTGAAACAAAATTGAAAGATGTGTGCCAACTGCTAGTGCATGTTCAGGCCACAGTACTGGACTAGAGCAAGCCTGAAGCAGAACTCCCAAAACTTACAGAGGTCATGTTAGGTTTTTAGTACTGAGTGTTTTATTCTGCACATCCTTTTCTTTAGTGTCATATGGCTTGCTGAGGTAGACCTAATCAATTTTGATGCCTAACTTACCGTTTTAAGATCTGCTACTGAAGTTCTTCAGGCTGAGGTAGTGCTGAGCAATACGATACGTTGGTCCTTTTGAATGCCCATGTAGGTACCCTGCTCAGCCCATCATCTGCAGAGTCTTTCAGGAGGCTTTCAGAATTGCACTCCTAATTATTATATCATTTCATGTAGAGAAAATTTAAGAAAAGTCATGCTTGTTTATTTTCTATGATATTTTCATGCTTTTCCATTCTGCACAGGAGAGCCAAGTAATAAATTTTATTTCCTGAGGTGTGAATTGACCATCTTGATGATAAAATAATACTGTCCAATACAAAAGTTTTTTTTTGCCACATTGATTAGAAAGAGAATGAGAAGCCCTATCTGTCAAATGGAAAACGATAAAGAGAGAGAGAGAAGAAAGTACTTTTTTTTTAGCTTGTAAAACARAAGTACTAACAACTGCTTAACGGTTTATGTAAGAATACTGTAATGGTGATATAAAGCAGCAATATTTTTCTAGAGATCCTGCTATCTGTACCCTTGTTAGTTGKCACTGTTTTAAGTGTTTTCTTTCTTAACATTTTTGACAGCATTAGACAGCTTATGAATTGGATTTTGTTCTGTCTTACATTTAGCGAAGGATTTCAGAGTTTTAATTGCAGAGTGCTATTTAGTGATTTKATACTCAAACCACTTTAGGTGAAATTATGAAATGTGATGGTCTGACATATATTAAATTAATCTCCTCAAATTAGACGTGCAGGAAATGTAGCACAATGCACCATTTTAACAGGGAGAACTGAAAGTAAGCACAGTATAGATTTGTAACTTCTGGAGTGTGTTCATTATTTCTTGCTTTTTAAGATGATCTCTATCCTAAAAGTAATCTTMTTTGTGTTAAATGTAACTCAAGATCAAATAAAAAAATTAAGCAGACGCATCTTGCAGGTAATTCTCCTAAATACTGTAACTGTGTAATAGTTTAATGTTCCTTACAAATAAAAATTAGATACTGTTATCTGTTCTTTGTTATGCCTGCCTTCTCCTAATGCCTGATGTTTTTAAAACAAGAAGGCTGCATAGAGGAATTTTAACACTGCTTTGGTATYGATATGCTACTACATTGGTTTTTGTTGCCAGCCAGGTGTCAGCTCCAAGTGACCTATTTCACACTTGCATACTTTTGTTTGCAAAGTCCTATGGGCATGCTTTACATCTTGTAGGCTAGCCTTTTCTTAGCAAAAATGTTACATTTTCCTGTATAACCTTGTGTTCTTTCTTTAATTTTTAAGACAAGAGGTTATTTTAGAGTGAAATTTTACAAGATTAGTCTTTATCCAAAGTTAAACTAGCCTTTTGTTAACCTTTAAACAGTAGGAAATAGTGTTTTTCAGCTCCATACATATTAGGAATGGACTGCTACATTTTTCTTGAATGCAATTAATTACTGAATATGGAAACATTGTCTTTTATTGAAGGATAAATCCATCACAAATGATTTTTATTTTTGTGGGAAGGGGTAAAAATAGGATGAAAATGTTAAAAATTGCAAAATTATACTTTGATTTTATTTTTTTAAATTTGATAAGGTAAAGAAGAGGAAAGGATGTAATATAGTTGGTTCTTACAGCCCTGTGTCTTATACTGCTAAAATGCAGAGGGCTGTTTTTTAGGATATTGTTTGGTATTTTAATGTCTTTTACTCCAAAATGTTGACATTAAATTAAGTCCACATGATGTAATATAGCTTCTTAACAAAGTGCATTTTCATATGTCTATACATTTATTTTTCTTTTCACRTAGATGGGGTATTAATCTTTATCTGGAAATCTTTAATGACACCTGTGGGGAGTATTCTTGAGTTTATCCTCCGGCGGCTTACTACAAATGAATTGAGTACTGTAAGTATTTGTTAAAATACTTTTTTTTTTTAATAATAATAATTTTATTTACCAGTGCTTTTAGAACTGTTCAGATCAAATAGGTACCTAGAAATCAAATTTTCTTAGAAACTTTTGCAAACTTTTTTTATGGGCACCATAAGAATGAAACAAAAAAGAAGTTTTTCCCTCAAAAGGGAGCAAAGCTAAATGGCTTCATACAGGTGTGGAATTAGGGTAGGAAGAGAAGTGAGACAAATACAAGAGAATTGYAGAGTAAAAATAAAAACTCATAAACCATACAAGATGCAGATGTGACTTAAAATCCAATTCAAGAGGAAGGCACACGAGATGCGTGTGTAGCTGTTGCAGTGCTGAGGTATTTTCTGCTAACTGGGTTAGCTTTTGGCAGTGATTCTGGTACTCAGACCAGTTTGTGTATTTTTTCCCTGGCATTCGTTTGAGTCCAGTAAAGGAAAAAAATTCACAGATTAAAAGCAGTAGAGATTTCTTTCAGAATTCCAGCTTATCTCTACTAAGGCCTACTGCAAAACCCTGGACTACAAGGCATCCTTAAACCTGAAAAGAAAAGTTTGGCTTTTCTTCAAGTGTTTTTTTTTTGTCTGTTTATTTATTTATTTATTTATTTTCTACACTTCTAGGTTGGGGATCTGGATCGTTGTGACTTATACTTAGCTTTATTTCCGGAGGTAGTGAATTTGTGCTTGCAGGTCAGCTGCGAAAAGGTACCATCTATCAAAAATTTCATTTTTGCCCTGACGAATGCCTCTATTCGTAATCTTCAGAAGACAAACTGTGAGGAGGTAATTTCATGTAATTTGCAACGGTAGTATGATGATTAACACCTTTTATACAGAGAGAGAGAGAGAGAGAGAGAGAGAGAGAGAGAGGCATATATGTATGAATGTTCAAAAAAAAAAACCATACACATTGCCTTAGTTATTTGGTAGTGTAATCTTAATTTGAAATACTTGCAGTGTATTTAAAACTTATATTTTTTAGTGCTTTTTTATATTGGCTTTTTTAAAAGTCTTTATAAACTGAAATAAAACTTGTGGTAATGGACTGCATACTCAAGGATCTTTACTTTAGGTGTGAATCAATCTTATCTAGGGAATTATAACTGAAGGAAAACATCATTTGCATGTCCTTATGAACTATAGAATTTCTAAWCTTGAGCATAGACGTAAAAAAAGAAGTTTACAAACCCCCACATTGCCTTGTTTTTTCATGTGGTTGTGTTCATTGTTCYATAGTTGTAGAGTATATCTGAAATCGATTTATGAAGTAGATTTGTATTTGTATATATATATTTGATATATGAAATAGATTTATTTATTTAAACTAACATTGGTTGTGCAGTATAATTTCTGGTATTTTGTGGGCTGAATTATTCACCAGGAACAGTAAATAAGGCATAAAAAAATGGAYTCTTGTAAGTACTTGATTTATTAGGTTTACTTTTCTAAGGAAACAAAGAGCAAAACTTTTTTTTCACTGATGATTATGTGAATTATGTTTTCAGTCTTAATGTTCACTGGGTGTCTCTTCTTTGAATTTGGTGGAGATTATACTGTCATGAGGATTTCTTCAGTTACAATACGCTGCATTTTCAGTTTAAGTTTATTTAAAAAAAGAAAAAAATATTGAGTAACTATGCTAGATAAAGATGAGAMAAAACTTGTGTGATCCAGAGAGCTGAAGTACTTTTCAGATATCCCAAATAATCCTGAGTTTTTAATATTACTAAGAAACTATATGCTGATACATTTGTTATTAATATTTATTTTCACACCCTTTGAATATGTGCTTATCACGCAAAATAACCATAGTGGATGTCCTGGTTTTCTAAGTTCTTGGAGCAATTAGCAGGTGGTGCTCTGTGTTAACTGTGCTCTTGCATTGGTTTTGACTACAGCGACCTGTGTGTGGTAGGGGGTGTGTGTGTCCACATATATATTTACACACACCATATATATATGCACACACACACACACACACACATACATATGCACACACACCATATATATATATATATATATATATATTTTTTTTTTTTCTCAAGTGCTATCCAGCAATATATAAATGTCTAGCTGGTAAGAAATAAATGTTCCATCATGGTCAAGGTAGGCTCCTGCACTTGATGAGTAGATGACTGTAATTTGTAAAATGGATGCTTATTATTTTTCGGCGTTTTCAACTTGTGGTTGATTGCATTGTCACAGCTAAGCAAAATTGCCTTATGCTTAAGATAAGAAAAAAAAAGGAGATATGATGATGCAGAGTTGCCACCTATGATGTGAGGTGATAAAAGTGGGAGGATTACTGACTGTGTCAGTGGGTCATTCACGTTATATTATTTGTAGAAATTGGTGTATATTTGAGTCTTCATCGTTGATTTGATTTTTATTAGGAGCCCAAGCTTAAAGAACAAATTAAAAAAGTAGCTAGCATGAGCTCACTGGCTGTTGTGTGTGAGGTTATGGATCAGAAGCCTGAAATGCACCTTGAATCTCTGCCTTCTATGGATGCCTTGAAGAAATTTGTTTCCTTTTCTCAGTTTAATGAAGTATTAAAGAAACCATCTTACACTGAAGAAAAAAATAGGTATGTTATTGTTATAGCTTGAGTAGTTCTTCAGAAACTAGTAAATCCTGTTAGTGTAGAACAGTGATGAAGATGCTGCTTTTCCTATTCTTTATTAATTTTTGCCAAGGTAAAAAAGAATAGTTCTGAACACAAAACATTAATTAAGTTGCATTTATGTCTTCAGATAAAGGTTTTGGAACATAAAAGCAGCCATAGCAGAATAGACTATAGAGTTTTTTAGCTCAGTTTGCTGCTGCCATGAAGCTATGTAGCTTCTAGTGCTCTGTAGCCTGTAATGGTTTTGAACTGAACCAAGACTTACCCAAGCTTAAATATCTGTACATGCTATGYCTGGGCAATTACAAAAGTCAGCTGAAGGGCAAATTATTGCAAAGCAAGGATTTGTTTGTATTGCAGATACCTGGGGAAGAACATAAGAGCAGGCAAGCATACAGTGGTGTTCCCACAAAATGCTAGCCATCTAGATATAGCTGAGACTACCCAGAGCTGTTTTTTTTCCTGTTTTTTATAAATCCTTGGTAATATTTTCCTCACTGAGTTCTCTGGGCTCTCCTTGAACCTGAGTAAATTTTATTGTCTTGAAGAAATGTAGTGTGTTTGTGGAGTTAAATGGTTCCCTAGTAGACTAGGTATTACATGATAACCCAAATAAAATGATATTCATATATTAAATATTTAAAAGTAATGCTGTTGTTACAGCTCATGTGAAGAAACAACATCTCAGGGATGGGGGAAAATAGTTGCACGTTATGTTCATGACCAGTGGATTTGCCTTCGTTTCATTTCAACTACCTTTCATACTGCTGAGCCCGTGTCGGAAGACAAACTTTTGGAAGTGCCGTTGTCCACAGTTGAAGGGTTAACAAAAATGCTACAGGCTGCATCAGAAGCCCTGACTATTCTTCCTTCAGACCAAGTCTTACCTGTGTTTGACTCCATGAAAGTCCTTGTTCCCAAGGTAAAACAACTGCAAGTTACTAAGTTTTGTTTTGTTTTGTTTTTTACTTCCACTCCTTAAATGCACTGCTTCTGTTCGCTTTCAGCTTCTGGAGTCAGCAGAGTCTCTGTGCATAGAAGCTTTTGATTTGGCTTGGAAGATTATATTCTCTTTGAGCAATACACAGCTAATATTTTGGCCTAATCTAAAAGCTTTCGTTCAGTTCATCTTTGATACCAAAGTTCTGGCTGTTGCTGCAAGTGCAAAGGGTCAAGTGTATTCCAAAATAAAAGAGGTAAGTTTGAGAATTCTTTTTTTTGTAAATGGGAATTAATTTTGTCATTTGGTTCTAGAAGTGCATTTTTACCTTATTGTCCTTTCMGGTGTTACATTAAATTGTTTATATTTGAATGCCAGTTTGAGAATAAACAGATCTTTGACCTTTAAGCAGAAATGCTATTCTGCATAAAGTAAAAAGAAACTTCTGAAACTTTTATGCTAATTCAGTCACCTTTTACTTAATCTTCTGGTTATGGTAATAGCATATTGTTGTATGTATAATGTGTCTCCAAAGTATCACTAGCTTTTCTGACTTGAGTGACTTCAGAGTAAAGGCTTACAGATGAAAAGCTTTAAATATTCTTGTAAAACAGGAAATGAAAAATATTCTTCCTTTCAGTTTTTAGACTGTTTGGTATCTTGTGACCCAAATAAAAACTGTGGGAAATAAGGGGGTTACTCTAATTAGTATTGTTTTATAAATATATTATGCAGCAATCCTGGATTTTTTTTTTCTAGGATGTACCACCTGAGCTGTCCCAGGTAGAAATCATTTGGAAATATTAGGCCATAGCCTTTTTCTAATAGTTTAATCTTTATAGAATACTTGGCTGACTTAGAGGCATTATTTATTTATCTTCTTGTGGGGGAAAGAAGGGGCAGGTGTAGGTGACATCATAGTTCACTACGTCAGGTAGAAACAGCTCCATATTATGGAAGACAAAAGATAAAATTTTTACTGTTTTCTGAGAGTTACATGTAATCTTGTACTACAGTTCCTGGCGTATACAGTGTAATTCTTTTTTGAGTCACTAAAACTGAATTCAGTAATCAGAAATTGGTGAAAGATCATGACTTTCTAGACAGGAGAGACAATTGCATAGCTTTTCTAAATAATTTTTCATAATTTTGTTTTTTTTTAGCTTTTTTCCTTTTATTTTTATTTTTTTTTACCCCTGAGTCTCAAGTATATTTTTGGACAAAACAGTCCACGATGACTGTAAAACTTCTGCCTGAGGAGTAATACATGATAAATTAGTTACCAGTTTATATGTATCCTTAGAAATATTCTCATGTGTTTTGCTTTGCACTTGGTTCAGAAATTATCCTAGAATATGTCGTGGTTTTGTGTTGAACTCACTTCGGTCCTCTTAGTGTACAGACTTGTACTGATAATTTAAAATAGCTGTAATGTGTCCATATTAGCCTTAATTATCTTAAAAGGTAATGCTCTTTTATTTTCTGTCTGATCTTTTTGGAAAACTTACTTCAGACAAATGCTACTGTCATCTCTTTTGGACAGCAGATAAAATTTGAGTGTTTAGAGGCATAATGTGGACCCAAAATGAAATAAGATTTGTATCCAAAGTCGAGAATCCTTTTAAATCCCAGAAATTTCCTACCTTTCTCTTTTAAATGAATGTCTGTAACTAGTAGTTAAATGCTCAGGATTGTGGTAACTGAAGATCTGTAGTTAGTTTTTTATTTGTCATTGATTTTAAAATTCATTTAAAGATTGAGAAATACTGTTTTAATTTTAGTTTTAGCATTTCAGAAATATATTCATGTAAGGTGTATTTTTCCGATGTTGAGAGTCTTGAGCCTCTATGACAGCTATCCCATTGTCTGCAGTGGGACATACCATGACAAACCAAGGCATCCAGGAGGTAATGAAGGTCTTCTATATTCAAGAAAGGGCATCTGGTCGAGCCACCTTCTGCCCCTCATAAGAAAATGAAGATAAAGTTCCTAAGCAGGTGTCTACTTCTGTATGTTATTATCCCACTCCTTGGCAGTCTCTTTTGCCATTGACCCCTTGGGTCAATGCTAAAGAGACAGAAAAAAATGGATCTGCCTGATACTGGTTCTGCCTGATACTGGTTGATTCAGAAATACAATTTTCAAAGCTTGTCTACCACGGTGCCCTCTGGCTTTATAATGATAGCTAAGCTAAAGGGCATAGGAGGGTTCTGGGGCCTTAAAAAGGGAATATTGCTGTGATAAACTACAGAAGGGCTTCCACAAAAGTGCCTGGAGCATTGTGTTTTGGGGCTTCAATCCTTCTGCCTTTCTCCTTTTTCCTGTGTATTAAAATGTTAATTGTACCAGTGTTAAGTATTTTTTGTATGTGTTGCATTTTTAGTATATAATGAAATAATATAAAATCACTCCTCTTTTTTTTTTTTTTTTTTGAATTGCATAGTAAATGTCGTGCTACTTCCTCTTGGATGAAACAGAATAGTTTAATTTGGACATTAATAGAAAAATTTGCACTATATATGTATGGATGTTCTTACTGCATTGTGCAGAAAATACTTCAGAGCACATTCCAGTATTTCAATTTAATTTCTTCGTTGGCATTTTAACCCTTATTAATTCAGAACAGCATTCTCTCTGTAAAGACTGAGTTGCAGTTAAACAAGTTTCACTTTATCAAAAAAAAATATCATTTGGAAGAGGGAAGAGTTTTATCCTGTATGAGCCTTTGCGTTTTGTGAAGAAAACATTCTCAGGAGTAGCTATAATAGTTGTTGCTTTTAACAAATTTATGAAAAACATACCTTAACTCTCTTCATTCTGCATCTTTTCCCACCCAAATCCTTGCAACCTGGAGAAAAATTCCCTGTAACTGAAGTTTATTCTAGATGGAGAGAGTGAGAAAGGAACTTTCTGAAGCCTCTTTTCCTGTTATGTTTTTTGCATTTTTTTTTTTTGGAGAAGTTCTAAATATCTAGATGAATAATTTTAAATATTATTTTAAATATGTTACTTCCCCCCCCACCATCAAAAAAGGGAAAAAAAAAAGGTAATTACAGATAGACAGTACTCAGACTCTTAGGCACTTGAACTACATTGGGCAGTTCACCCAGAGGATGAAGGTAGTTGTCATGAAGGAGGATTAGTGATAGAGCTAATTATGGAAGGAATTTTGTTTAATGTTAGAAATGTTGTTTTCTACCGAACTGGTAAGGACTGATAGGAGCCACCAGATCTGTGTACTCACTGAAGTAAGCCTGGATGCATTTGTTGCAAGTATCAGCAGGTTCATGTTAAAAACATGTCTTAGAGCTGTGCATGTAAAGATTTGTTCTGTCATCTCTTACCACAAACATGCACCAGGCTGGTAGTTTCCCATTCACCTGCCCATGTAATTGGGAAATTGTAGGTAGGTTCAAGATATTGTTAACCTGAGTGGAGTTTGGTTGAGAAAGGGAATCAGGTCTGCTATATTAGAATAACATTGCAGTAGGATTTTTTTTTATATAGTTCTAGCATTTTGGGAAAATAGATTTGGAGTCATTTTTATTCTTCTTTTCAGATAATCTTCAAGCTCATAGATATGTCTGCTACAAGGACTGGAGTCTTCAATGTAGTCATTAGTCATTGTTGTCAATCTTGGCTATTTCCCACTGTTGATGATAGAAGTGCTTTGACAAATGCTTTCCTGAATGCTGGAAATTACTGTGAACTTATCACAGAGGCTTGTGTCTTTGGAGCTGTGTTCAGGAAAGATCAAAGGTAAGAAAAAAATCATGAGATCTGAAAGTTTCATTATATTATTTTGTATTTTCTTAGTTACCTCAAAATTTGAAACTAAAAACTATTTCTGTATGTTATTCTGCTAATATATATTTATTTTTCTTCTTTCATCTGAGAAGACTTGTTCAGGATGTACACGCCTTCGTAGAAAATCTTGGAGAAAAATGTGCAGCCAATGTTGTTACAGAAAGGTAATCATTTTGAGGATACATCTTACATTTAATCTGAATAGTGCTTTCATTACTACTGAGGCTGGAATGAGAACGATGCAGTCTTTTTGCAGACAGTTTCTTAAATATTTGTAGAAGGCAAATATTCCACATTACATTTAGAAATCAAGTACAAGATGCAGAAAAACAGTAAGTTTTCAGGAAAATCCATCCTATTTATTAACCTGAATAGGACGGAAATAACAAATTTTAAATGTATGATTGTGGATGTGGACATACTGTACACTCTTACTACAGAGAACTTCATGACCATAAAACTRTTCAATCCTTTATGACAAATAGGAGGCTTACTATGTTTGCTCTGCATTGCAGTTACCTTGCCTACCTTTCCCCCCAAAATGTGCACAATTTTTATAATGTATTTCAGAATTCAGGCTTTCTCTTTTTGTGTGGGGTAATATTCAAACTGCCAAACCACAAAATGTATCAGTCTTAAGGATGGCCTTTTACCTCTTCAGTCAGTCTTTGCCAACATGAGAACATCATGCACATATTTAAGATAATATGTGTTGTTTTTTATATAATTTAGGATTTATCTTTATGTCTGAATAAATAATTTTAACTTTTTTTGTATTACTGTTTCACAGTACAAACAGAGATGATCACTATGTGCGAGTTTGTGCTATTAAATTTCTCTGCTTGTTGGATGGATCAAATAGTTTGCACAAGATGTTTATGGAAGACATTGCCATCAAACTACTTGATAAAGTAAACAAATTTTTTGGAAAATAAATTTAATGTTAATATAGCTATTGAAATACTAAATATTTGTTTTTGAAAGGTATTGTTGACAGTTGGTTRTATAGCCTTGTCGGTTATTTATATAGCCTGTCTAGATTTCCCCAGTAAAACACTACCTTAGTATGAGACAGGAGTTAATTTGGTAAAAAGTGAAGTGGTTAGAATTGTCTGTTTAAAATTTACTCTTCAGTGTTTAGTGGATATTCCGGTTTCCACTAATCATTATCCAAACAGGAGAAATGAATGCATTCAGGCTATTAGAAACATTGATTTTCACTTAACACTTGCAATGTACCTTTTCAATGGAGAAAGCTATTGAAGGTGATTTCTGCAGAGGGCCTTATAAATGAGATTAGTGAAATAAGGTTAGGTACTGATTTTCCTTTCTTTTAATAAAATTCTTTTAATAAATGCTACTTAAACATTGACATTAGTGTAAAACTAGCAGTAAATTTGTAYACCTGCATCCGAATTATCACCCATGCCCAGAAATCATCCTGGTAGGATAAAACCAGAATTCAAGGACTGAGCTGGACTTTATTCAGTCCTCCTGCTAGGTACCTATTGAAGAAAAATGGTTATTATTTATGTTGTAAGACTGATCAAGACATAMAATGAATTTCCAGTGGAAATCCTGTTTATGCAATGGAATTTAGAAATGGAAATTAGAATTTCCATTTTAATTTAGAAATGTAATTTAAAAATGGATTTCTAAAGAAGAAGATTAAACATGTAAAAATAAAATATATTCACATTTTACTATTAATAAGGAACTGTACCACAAATTTCTTTTTTTTTAAAAAAAAAAAACAAGGGTTTTGTTAGTCATATATTTTGGAGGCTTAAACAGGGGAGATCTAAAGTCAATGAAGAACATGAATTCTAAATCCTTTAAAAGCTTATTTGTGTCATCTGTTTTCTTTCATATAAGCATCTCTTTATTGCACAGTACCAGTTGCTCTCTCAAAGCTGCCATTATAAGCACATGTAATGCATTCCATTACCTGTGCTGAACTTGCTTTTTGTGTGTAGACATTGAAGTAGAAAGGTCTTCATTTGTGTACTCATCTCTTCAATTAGGATCTTTAGTGCTTGTTTTATATTAGTAATGGTAGTTTGTGTGTTTAATATTGCTTGACAAATTCATGCTGCAATTTATACGGTATTATTTAATTGTTCATGTAGAGCAGGTGCTGTGCTCTTGAGTCAATTCTTCAACTTTCTGCTGTGTTTTTACATTAAGTAAAAAATATTAAGTATAAATTTTACATAAAAACATACAGAATTGTCTATTTTGATAATGTTCAGCACTCCTGAACAACCTTCAAAATTTTATTCCAAATCCATGAATGAAATATCTTTTGCCTAACCAATACCAGCTATGCAGTAGATGCTACCTTGTCAGTAGAGTGTATTGTATTTTCAGTTCTTCAGGTTGTGAGGGCTGGGTGATAAACCTTTGAATTGCTTCCTAGGATGAGCAGGTATCCAGATCTCGAACACGTTATTATGCAAACTCCCTACAGCATAGAATCAAAAATCGGATATGGCAGACACTTGTAGTTCTTCTTCCAAAGCTTGACCAGGTATTGCACCTTTTTTATTTCTTTCCTCTGAATAATTACATCTGTTTTTTTACGTGTGTGTGACTCTAGGCTGCAAGAACTTTATACATTTCCATTGGTTCCTTGAATTGTGGATTATAGGATGCTAGCTTTTCTGTTGAGATTCTGTTGAGATTTTCTGTTCTGCTAAGATACTAGACTGACTATGTAATATAATATGTAATAATATCATAGAAAACTGTGTGTACCCTGTTTCTAACGTGTGCCCTAACTTCCCTATGCTGTAGTAAGAATTCTGTAACATTTTACGGTCTGATCCCAGCTGCCTTTASACCCTTTTTACATGCTGTGTAAATACATGCCCCAAAATACTACCTGCATTCATATAGGGTGCTAAATACAGAAATTAGGTGATTGTAAAATGTTTTGGCTCAATTATTTCTAGTATCACRTAAAGGATATGTTTTTATTTAGAATTTACTTTTATTCATTGAAATTACTGTAAAAATATGCTGAAAGATTATCTAATTTTGTTTTCTCAGACTTTTTTGTGTGAAAACCTTAGTAAGGTTTTTCAAGCTGGATTTGGTAACAATCAGGCATCTGTGAAATACTTCATAGAATGGATTATCATCTTGAGTCTACATAAATACCCCCACTTTCTTGCAAAGTTCTGGGATTGCTTTTGCTACGTAAGTAAGAACTTCGGCATTCACTTAAGGAGTAGTTTGAATGAAACGAGAAGACACAGTTTGTTGTCCCAGCATTGTTTTTCTTGTATTCAGTTTACTTTTGACACTCTAGGTTTTGAGTACTCAAAGACTGCAATGTTGCTTTTGCTTGGAAGTGGGTTTGGAACAAGCAATTTACGTGTTTTTGATTCTCCTACATGAAGACATGGAAATGTCTAGTTAAGACATTTCTGTTTCTAGTGTATCACTATGCACACACTAGAGCTGTGTGATAATGGAGACAACTCAGATCTAGAGTCTGGGGAGGTATTCAAAATCACTGAGGAGATCTGCGATGTCGTAGCATTTTTCATGTCTGGGATTCTTTTCTGAGTAATTGCCTGTAAGGCTTGAACTGTARGTATACGCAGTCTATATTCATGAGGTTGAATTTCTTGGTTAGCACTGTACTTTCAACCTGAGGAGGCTGTATGGGTGTGCTTGCATCTCCCTTAGCACARAGAAAGACTTGCAATAGTGCCTCTGCCTTACTGCCCATAATAGAAAATAGTAGATGCCTTCTTACTTATCTGGTAGCCTCGTTAATACTGTAGCTGCCTTTGAAAACCAAACAGTGGGACAAGAATAAACAAGAAAAATTCTTGTATTTATACATGCTTTTGCCCAAAACCAGAGTGGGTATTTAGAGCTGTCCTATGGGAAATCCTTCCTTGCTAGTGATGCGTGTTCTATTTTGTTCTCTGCACAAGGGAAAAATCCATCCCTTCTAGTAAAATTTATAATTTAAGTGCACATAAAGGGTTTTCAGTGTCTATCTGAATTGATGAGAAGTGCTATAAAGGATGTAGCTTCATAGTTTCAGGGTTCCTTCCAAGCATTTCTTACTTGAGGGCCATCTGTTGAGTTGCAGAGACCTCATGCTGGTAAGTCCAAGCTCCTTCAAGTGTAGTGCCCTAACACAGGGAGCAGAAAACCTGTGGATTCAGGGAAGAGGCATCCAGGTCAGCTTAAGAAGGTATCCTGGAAAGCTGACTCTGAAAAGGACTTTCAGGGACACACTGAAAACTCACCTGAACTTTAGCGTGCGGTATAATGCTCTGAGGCAAGGATTAATAAAATTAATAAAAYTAAAATTAAAATAATTAATAAAAACTACCTATAAATAGAAGCAAATTCTAAACAGGACTGTGGAAACTGTTTCCTTCAATACAGCATTGTTAAGACCGGACTATTCTCTAGTTTTTATAAGCGTATGAAAAAGTGAGAACATGAAAAATTTTTGGAGATCCTTTTCAAAGGATTGAAGAAAACCTTTGCTTAAGAGGTTGAGAACTTTGGCTTTGAAACGATTACAATGTACAAAAAAAATCTTTGCAGAAAAAAAGCTTAGTAAGCAGAGAAAGATGTATACAGATCAATCACTGAAAGATAAAGTCAGATTAATTTACATATAGTACAGATTTTTAACAGTGAAGATTAGTGGTTGATAGAACATGCTTTTGGAAGGTRTGCTTATGCCCAGCAACTTAATCTGAATTGTAATAACGCAGCGGGGTTTCATGTCCTTTGATATGTAATCTAACTTTTAATCTAAAAATTCATCTGGTTGAAATCCTGTGACAGTGTGATCCAGCTCTCTAATTTGAATTTGACAACTATTTAGGGAATATTTGACCAATATTCCCTCCATGTTCGTATCAGTGGATTTGATTTTGTTTTGGTTTTTTTTTTTTGGTGAGATAATATAATAGAATAAAAAAGTACTAGAACAGAAGTGTAGGGAAATAAGTTCCTGTCCAGGTTGAGTGCACCATAAGCACAGAATTTGTTAGTCTTTCTTTTACAGAATTATTGCAGGAAAGTTGAGTGAGTAAGATAATAAAATAGATTTTCCCACCTTGCTTGTTTGCTGGTGTGGGAGAAAGATGTCTTTGTTTCTTTGGTTGTGAGATGTTTTTCAGGRAGGTTAGGGACGGGAAGGGCAGGTAGAAGGAAAATGGGTAACTTTAAATTTAGTTTTATCTCTGTTACACTGTTGTATACCTCATTCTGATTATGTGTTAATAAAAAGCAAATAATGTGTTTGGGAAATGTGTGATCTTATACTAAAATATATTTTTTTTTCTGTGGAAACACTTATGATCTTACAAGTAAGTCTTGATACATAATGCAGGTATTGCATAACACATTCTAAAAGCATGTGGAGTACAAAAAACCAACTATATTTGTATCATCTTTGGTTTATTCTCTTTTACTTCAGGATGAGGAAAAGCTTAAAACAAGCATCTGCACATTTTTGTCAGTTTTATCACACTTTGATATCATTATTCAAAATAACTCCGAGAAGGTAAGTCTGACTAGAAATGTTTTTTTATTCAATTATGCTCTGCATGGATTTTGGAAATAAAAATCCTTTTTCCAGTCTAGTCTTACGGGCCTTTTTATTACTTATGTATTCTTACAAAAATACTCCGTCTCTTGCTATGGAAAGATGACTTTTCCTGCCACTTCTGTTTCCTATTTGACTCAGTGAAAATTATGTAAGTGGCAGATGTTTGGAATATATTAGATCTGGGTGTACATGTGTTTTTTCCTACAATAGCTATTCCAAAATATCTGAACATGTTGGTGCTTCCATCTTTTTTTTTCCTCCTGTTCACATTACTCATGAAATTGGACCCAGATAGTGTTCTTTGGAAACAGCTACTCCATGATACATTTCTTTATATATTTTTTTTATTCAGGAGGCCCTTCCCTCCTCTTTCTTTTTTTTTTTTAAACTACATTTCAAAATAGAGGATAAAATACACTCAGATACTATGTGTAACTAACTGCTATAGATCCATAGCAATCCAGACTTCTGTTAATTTTGGTGATTGCTTGCATAATTTGGAAGACCAGCTTCCTAAGTGGTAGAAAATCAGATGTAAATAAAATTTTCTCTGTATGCAGAACACCAAATTTCAAAGCAAATAAATATGTTTTCAAAACAGCACAAGTGGGGCTTGTAGCTTCATACACTTGTGAGCTAAATAGTGACTGAAGGAAATGAAGGGCATATTTGAAGCTTTATATGCCCATAAATACTGTCACAGCTTTGGACTTTCTGAAAGGCTGTTTTTTCTGTTTTTTGAGGAAAGTTTTTTTTTTTTTTTTTTTTTTGTAGAAGCCAGCTTTGAAGAAAGCCCTCGTGGTTGTTCTGCAGTGGTGTTTCAACCACAATTTCAGTGTTCGACTTTATGCATTAATTGCCCTTAGAAAAATCTGGGGTATGTGCAAAATGTTGCACGTGGAAGACTTTGAAGCTCTGACACCAGCTATTGAATCCAGCCTTCAACAAGTAGAAAATATGCATGGCACAGGGTTAGTAACATTCTTTTGACTTGCAGTTTAAGATTGTTTTTCTGAGCCATTTGCAGCAAGTTTAATCTTCCAAAATAGTACCTCATAATTTCTGTGGTTTTGTTTCATTTAAAAAGAAATAAGACTTGGAAGTTGGCGTCCTAATCATCAGAAAAAAAAAAAAAAAAACGAAAAAAAACATGTGCTGGGAGCCATCTTCTGTTCTGACCTTTGTTTAGCTTTTGTCACAAGAGAAAGTTCTTTATTACTTACTGCCTGTGAATACGAATGGGTTATGTTGTTGAATCTGTCAGGAGCACGACAAAGGTGAGCTTAGTCGCTTGRGAAGCAGAATTTCATTACTCTTCAAGCGCTGTCCTCAGAAACTGAGAACACAAATATTAATTTGTTCTGTGTCTAATTGTGTGTAGTTTGTTAGTGACATGTTTACAAAATACTCATGATAACATTATGTTAAAAATCACTTTATCTTTCAGAAAAGTTTCACTTTTTAGCTTTGTAAAGAAGAATAGCAGTGACTTCTAAGTTACGCATTGCTTAAAAAWTTTAGTATGATATCATAGTTAAAGGATGGGGGTAAAAAAAATGTCAGTTAAGTATGCTCTTTCTTTTTATCCAGTGCTTTTTGGGGAATGACAATAAAGTAAATACTTTTTGAGAATTTCTGACAAATTTTGTAAGCTAATATAAAACGGAGCTGCTACTGACAGAGTGGTCTTTCCTGGAAAATTACCAGGCAAAAAGAGAGGTAACCCTGGTCTAGTTCCCTGCTTAGTCACACAAGTTAGTTTGTCAGGGTATAGGATAGAAACCAGCCTCTGGGAAGGAAACTATTTTTTTGTTTGTTTTGTTTGATAGCTTCAATAGCTTCAAAAYGGTCACTTGAATCATGGACTGCAGAGGATGTGGTTTCTTGGAGGAACCAGTTGGGACCCTGTTTCTGTGAATTTTTTTTTYTYTTAGTAAGAGCATTTAAGATGTGTTGTGACACTGAAACAAAAATAAGACTTTCCCTGAATGGTGTGTTTTTAAAATGACCTCACTTATTAAAGTAGTCTTTTCTGCATTTCCCATTCAGTAAATAAAATCAGATAACTGTATTGTAATTTGACAATTACAAAAGTCCAATATGTTGAATTTTTGTTACATCCTACATTRATTTTTGGAATTACAGAAATGCTAGAAGGAACTGGCAGCGAATCCAAGATCACTTCTTCTTTGCAACATTTCATCCTGTTGAGGATTACAGTCTAGAGGCAAGTTCAAAAGATACTCATTCATGTATTTTCAGATATATTTGCAACTTTCTGTATGTGTTCCTGTGTGGGATGAACAATGATCAACAGGTATTAATTTAAACTCTGAAGAATGGCTTCAGAAAATGTCATGGATTTCAAACTAAGACTGGAGCTTAATTCTCAGGTTAMGGTCGTGTTAAAAAAAGAAAACAGGGTCACCTGAGAAAGATATATGGGATGAATAYGCCCATGTCTGTGGGACAGGCAGGTATGAGTTAATTTATTGATTTTATGTTTAGTAAGCTATTTGGTAAGCTATAGTTTAGTATGCTATTTCRAATAACCCAACCCATGAGTTTCTAAGTGATTTAATGTTGTTTAACTGAACTGTTGCTTAACGTGAACCAAGGACAGGTATGTAACTTATGTAATTAGTTATATTAGTTATGTAACTTMTACAATTTTCAGCTACACCTTTTGCTGTATCTTAAATAACTGAAAGTTAAGTAAGCACCAAGATAAAAATGTGCAAATAAAAATGAGATATAGAAATAGAAATGAGACTGAAAATAGAAGAGAAACTTCAATGTGAAAAGGAATGCACATGCTCTGGCATAGGCCATGCCTTTTCTCAGTTTAAAAAAACCATTTCTTTATTTGAAAACTTAGGTTTTGTCAACTATTTTAGTGAAGAATTGAACGTACTGGAGACAATTGGCAACATTTGGAAGTGAAAATCTTGAAAAGGAGAAAGGAAAAACAGAATTTGTATTTYATAAGAATTTAACTATATTTAGAGTGTATCTCAGAAGGATAACCACGAAATCTGGGTTTTAAACTTTTCATCTTACTCAGCCTTTCCCTTTGTGCATGGATCCTTCCCTGTTGATTGGTTGTGGTTAGTTGTGGTTTATGATTAGATATGGTTTATGAAGATGAATTTTGCTYTGATGATATTCTCTTGACATTAAGTCAAACAGCAGTGTTTGCTACAAGTTTATAAAGGCATGCCAAAACTCAAATGCATCATGCATGGTGCTTTTGGACAGAGCCACTATGCTGAAAAGTATACAAGTGATTATTCAGTACTGCAGATTTTGAGAAAACTTCTTAAAAATCTCTCACTAGAGAATAGTATTATTACAGTTTGGGATAATAATACTGAATGTGAAGTGGTGAATACTGAGATACACATGAGTAAATAGTATCTTCTAACAAGAAAACAGTATAAAAAAAACAGCATAACAGCTAAAAGATGTGCAGTAGTAAATTTTGTGTGTCATGCTTTCTTTTGTAATACTTTGCTAATAACGCTGTGTTACGTTTCAGACCATATTTTACACTCTTCCCCGCCTTTCAGAACTTCCCGAAGATGAATGGATCCCGCTGTGTAAATTTGACAGATTTACAGACATTCCTTTGCCACCAACATTTCAGTGGTACCATTCTCGAGCTGAACTTCTTGATCTAAAACCAAGTGACTGGTCTCAGCAAGACATGGGTAAAATATACCTAATAAATATTAAAATAGAGTTACTTGGTTTTGGTAGTTTCAGTACATTTCTGTACTAAATATGATATTTGCATGAACATGATCCTGTGATACTGGCTGAAGAGAAATATGGTATCAGTGTAGCTACAAGAGCAGAGTATGTGTCATAAAACATCAGAAGATGATTCTTTTTACAGTAATATCACTTGAATACTGATATTTGCCTAAGCAATAGATTGACTGCCMCTTGTGCATCCAGATGACTAGTACTTATTTTCATAGGTTCCAATGTGGTTGACACAAACAGCCAGACAGAATGGACAGATGTTCAGAAGAAGATCATACCCTGGAAAAATAGTACTCCTAATTTAGACCTGGAGCTGGTATTTCAAGATCGTGCCACTAAACTTGGTAAATCAAACAGCAGCCTGATTGTAGTGGCTTCGCTTATTGATAAACCTACCAATTTAGGAGGTAAGGTTGAATGGATGTTTTTTAACTTCTCTTTGTTGAGAAATAGGTTATTATTTTACAGGAARTTCTTCCAAAGAAATTTTACTTTTTTAATTTATAATTTTAATTTTTTTGAAGTTCTTCAAAAGAAATTTCAAAAGAAATTTAAAAGAGAAAGAGGAAAAGATTGTTTATACTTATTAAAATAAAAAAATACACATAGTATGAGTTAAACAGAAATTTGCTGTAAATGAAGCTCAGTTTCTGCCTATGGATTCTTTGTGACAGGTGAATTTCTTTCAATTGTGTGGATGGTTAAGGGCAAATAATTTGCTCTTGCCAATTTTTTTTACTGTAACAATCAAAAACAGTCTTCTAAACACGCTACTGTTTCTCATGACTGTTAAAATGACAAACAAGTGCCCGTTTCTGGTTTAAAGCACTGCTGCACGGTACTGTGCAAGCTGTGACAGGCAGAACAGATCCTGCAGACACTCCACGGCCGAGTGCCTTGCTGCTGCCGGCACTGCACTGACTGCAGTGAAGCTGCCGAGCAGGAGGCAGCCCCGGGGCTGGTGCTGTCTGCGCCGCAGTGCTGCGCTGCAGCGCTCTCTGCAGCCTCGCAGSTACCTGCTGCTGCATTCACATCTTGCAAGCTGCTCTGGGAGTGTCCGCCCAAGCTCGTGTGCTAACCCGTTACTTGGTTCTGTCAATTTATAATAATGTTCCACAGGCATATGAATCAAGCAGTGCTTTTAAATTTTTTTATCTTTCTGATATGCTACAAAAAAAAAAAGTTTTATTTTCTTGTTATGTAAAAGAATTGACTTGGAAGAGAGATAAAAGCACCTGAATTTGCTGATTAAAATCAGGTGGCTAACATAATAGACTTTTGTTCTCTCAGATTTTTGTCCTTTCCCACTTGCTGAGATACTCTAGCTTGATGTTTTTATTTTCTATACGACAGTCACTTTATTTCTTCCTTTGATAGGTTTATGTCGCACAAGTGAAATATTTGGGGCATCTGCGCTGGTTGTCGGCAGCCTTCATTATCTACAGGACAAGCAGTTTCAGCACCTTAGTGTTTCTGCAGAGCAGTGGCTCCCCATTATTGAGGTAAGTGCAAGCAGGCTTTAGCAGCTTGAGAGTGTACTCCTCCTCTTCAGTTAATCAGATGTGTGGTTTGCAGTCTCCTTCTTTTCCCCTTATAAAAATGAGCCCTTAATTTCATGGATGCTCCCACTGTTATCTTTGTTAATTATTCCCAGATACCCAGCATTTGTTGTTGGGTCAACTTGGTAATAAAGAGTTTAAAAATTACTTTTATTTTCATGCTGTTGTAATTAACTGGCGTATGTGAATTGCAGTTGTTACAGCTAGCTGTTTTATAGTGGTGCATTGGAATTTAATGTTCGCTTACAAAACTTGGACAATGCTTCAACTGTTTATCTTGGTTTGCTGCTTTTTGCTAACTTAGTAAGGATAAACACTTGAGTTTGCCTGAAACTAATTTGTACTAATCTTTTATATATTATCTTAATCTAGTATCTTATCTTACCAAAACAATGGTCTCAGCCTATATCTTTAGCTTTCTGTAGAATGGTGATTATATTTTATAACCTGTTTTTTAAGGCTGACTTTGGCAAGTCATCTGAAAATTTCAGTGCAAAATGTTCATTTTTTTAAACAGCACTAATTTTCAGCATATTAGGATTTGTTTTCAGAACAGTATAGCTATACTGTATCTTGCCTGTAGCATAGAATGCCAGYAGACACATATATGTCCTTATACCTAGAAGTCTGCATAACCGATCTCTACTGAGAACTGTACTGATGACAGAATTTCTGCTGCATGACCAAACTGGCATCTAATATAAATAGGCAATTTAGAGATTAGGACAAAGGAAATACTTCAAAATTCTTCTCTTAAAGTTGTGATGTTACAGTTGTAGAAGAGGCTTGTAAGGTAAGTCATCAGTTTTGGCTAATCATTATATTGTTTCAGGAAAGGGTATCAATTTAAATAAGAATTTGTCATCCTGTCCTTGTGCAAGAGTAATTCTTTTATATTCAGATATRCTGGTTAAGGTTTGTAGCTGTCAGAATTAACTAAGTGTCTTAGTTCATTTTATTTGTGGAATAATTTTTTCTGGCATTATCTACCTATAGAWATCTTTTGTGCTGCTGCTGAATAAAGTTAAAATGGTGGCCATGTGTATGGGCACAGTATTTGAGGATAAAAAGTGATCATCTAAAAGAGTCTATGTAACATCAATTTTTACAATAAGTTTAGAAGATTACAAATATCAGTATTTTAACTATTTATGTATTTTTCTTTCCACTTGATGCCCAGGTGAAACCAGCTCAGCTTGTTGATTATTTACAGCAGAAAAAGACAGAAGGCTACACTATCATAGGTGTGGAGCAGACAGCAAAAAGTTTTGATCTTACAGAATATTGCTTCCCAGAGAAGTCTCTGTTATTGCTGGGGTAAGATCTCCTTTTCTTTTTTTTTTTCTCTCTTTTGCATTTTTTAGGTAGGTCTACCTCTCAGTTCATCCAGCAGCACCTTCTACTAGTCAGCAGTTTAGTTCTATGAAAACCATGTGGCSCTGGCAGAGGCAGAACTGGGAAGGACTGGGGTGTCAGGAAAGCGCTGGGCTTTCTGTAGTAAGGCATGGGAGGTGTTGGTGTCTGGGTGGTATTTTCCTCTCTTCCTGATGACTGTCTGTACACATGAACTCCTTCCTTGTGAGTGGAGATAGCAGCACCGTGGATTCTGGTTCTCCAGCTGTGGCAAAGGTATCATCTACCCATGTGAACAGTATGGGGACCTGTGTGTGCTGCCGAGAGGCTGCCTCTGTGCCTTGCTCTTCCCTCTGTGGATGGGGAAGGAGGAGGAGGAGGAGCACAGGTGCTGGGAGAAGCCTTACAAATACAGGAGGAAGGCACTGAAAAAAACAGCAAGTTTGGCAAGTGCCTTCAAGCCTGAAAGCAGTTGTGAATTGCTGAGGTAGTAAGTGAGATCAGGAAGAAGGACTTATCTTTTCAGGACAAAGTGGGCAGAAGTTCCTCTGTTTTTCTACTTGTCTCCAAAAATTAATTTTCCCCACTTCAATAATAATTTTGTGTTCTTCTAACTGATTTCAGTTACTAGAAATCTTTTGTGTCTTCTGATGTACTCCCCTCTTCAGAGTGAGCACCTTTGCAGTTGATGCTTTGGCCAGTCTGGGATCCCGTGGTACCAAGACCACATCACAGGCCGAGCGAACTCCTGTGGCAACAGCCTCATGCCCTGGGTCATTTCACTTACAGTCACTTACTTTGCTCTATGGATAGTTTCCATACATTGTAGAAGTGTGAATGTTGTGAAAAAACAGTGCTGAAATAATTACTTGATTTCTGCACCTCCAGCTTGGAACTGCCTAATTAATCTCGAGTGCAAGCAGCACCTAGCTGATGCGCATTTCCTGGACAGAGAAATAAAATCCTAGAGGCAAGGGCAGCAAGAGCAGCAAGGGATCTCCAGGCTTCCGAGTGAAGGACATTGTGCGCCTGCCCCAGGACACCCAAGCTACAGAATTACACCTTTGTTTTAGAAAGTGCAGTTAATACTGTATAGCAGTATTTTGCATACAATAGTTGCTAGTAATATAATTCAGCAGTTTGTTTTCCGTGACCTTATTTTTGGTAGTTGGAAACTCCCTAGAGGTTCTTCTTACCCTAAGTTTTCTTACTTTCTTCTTACCCTAAGTTTCTTACTTTCTTACCCTAAGTTTCAAATTTCAGATAAAGCCGCTTTTCCTTGAATTATGGTTTGGCTTTGGCTTTYGAGATGAAAAGCTGGATCATGTACAAAGCTTTTTTAGGCTCCCCATGCGCTATTTTTTTTTTTTTGCCTGTTGCAGTAATGTATAACTTGTTACAAGGAGGGATAGCATTTACAATGCTGCTTAAAAAAAAAATCCTATCAGTTATAGGGAGTGCAGATAGGTCTGTATTTTCTGAATGGTTCCTGGTTGCTGTTGTGCCTTCTGCATCTTTCTTTTTTCTGGAGCACCTTTCTTTTCACAGGCTTAAGTTATTGTTTCTCCTTTATTAGTAACGAACATGAAGGAATCCCAGCAAACCTGATTCACCACCTGGATGTCTGTGTGGAAATTCCTCAGCAGGGCATTATCCGGTCACTGAATGTCCATGTAAGTGGAGCTCTGCTCATCTGGGAGTACACAAGGCAACAAGTGATCAAGCAAAGACAACAGAAATGACTGCCGAGCTTTGTGCCTTATAGTACAGCCGGAAGAGGGGTGGGAAGGACAGGTGTTCTTATGGTGCTAAACCATGGAATTTTGGATAGGAAACGACTCAGGGTGAACGAGGATACTGAACTTGTGCATGTTGTACTCTCTGTAGTTCAGATTTTTTTTCAATGCCTTAATACTTTACCTCATTAAATGTAACTGTTGCATCAGTAATAAATACTATTTATATTGCATGTGGTGTGTGATTTTCTGTTATTAGAAAATCAGCAAAGTCCCATGAACRACTCAACCACGAACACAGTATTTTAACAGTGCTTGCTTAGGTTGAGACAACCAYGCTTGAAACTGGGGTCTTGAGATAACTGCAATCAAGACAGTTGGAGTCACAGCAAAGTCCTTAATACCAACAGCATCTAGCTGTAGTAATTATATAGAATTTTGCAAATTAACCTGTTGTAAGAGTTACCTTCTTCAAGTGCCCTTCACACTGAAATTTATTAATCCTGCTGTAAACGTCATTCTATTTTTAGTGGAGTTCCTACACCAAGATCAATTAAAAATACTATATAATGTAATAGACCATCATGTGAAAATAAGAAATAAGTGCCCTAGTACAGATGGTTATTCAAAATTGACCTGTATGATTAATACAAAGTTATAGATAAGTATTCAAAACATATAACTTAAGACTGCTGTACACACAGGATATATTAGATCTTATTATCTCTGCCCTTTCATGGCAAAGTTAAGATCTTCAAAGATTTGGTAAACAATGGTAACAGGTAATGCCACCCTTTCTCACAAGGGCTTGAGGGGCATTTATTTTAAGGAAAGGTAGCTCACTTACTGAAAACCACATTTATTACTCTTTTGAATAAGTTCATTACACTGTAATCATCCATGAATTCCCATAAACAGTTTTTGACTGTGATTCTGCATTCAAACACATGGGTTGATGAAGAGCCTTAAACTGCATTTTTTTTTTTACTCATTCTTCATGTGGAATGAAGCCATCCATGACCATGTTCTTCAAGCAGATCCAGGAGACCCTGCAGCAACAGCAGCAGCCTGCATTTTTACAGATATCACCTTTTTTAGCTCAGGCAGCTTCTGTCACTTCTCTTTTCCTTACACTTACTCTCTGTGGATATACTTTGAAAGCTGAGGAGCTATGACTTTCCAGTTGTTTCTGGTGGAAAATATCCCTCCTTCTCAAGTTTGTTTTTGTACTTTAAATAGTCTCTTCTTTTGTCAAAATATTTAACCTGTTTCAAAAGAGAAATAACTTGTGTTGTTTAAGAGAAACTGGCAGAAGAAGGGAGCTTCATGCATCGTAGTAAGACAAATWAACAGGGATCTTTCATCACTGTGTTTAAATAAGATTCCATCTTTTTATAACAGCAATCGTCAGCCTCTAACCCCTAGAAATATGTACATATTACATACATAAAGCACTCTAACATAATAAAATAGCAATGGATGTTTAAAAAACAGTAAGCATGGACTCTGAAAACTAAAGTACAGGATATGGAACAGTTGCAGGTAAGCAGAAGGTACASGGTGAAATTCTGCATGAAAAATGGTATTTGGATGCACTGTAGCATGCCACATGGGCGCCTTAGGCTGCCAAGCTACTGTAAGCCCTGGATGTCACCTCACTTCCATAGCCACTAACTTTTCTTCTTCAGTGGCAGTAGTTCCCAAGCCTCTTTCAGACCTTTTTCCTAACTACTTTAGACGATAAGGACGGTAAATACACATGGCACCCTCTTTCTTTCCCTGGGGAAGGCTCTTTCCCTGCAGTCCAAGCTTTGGCCTGGGCACAACAAGGGCAGAAAGGCGCTGCCGCTACTCACCCACTGCTGCGGACACCGCGACTCAAAGGACAGCCTCAGGTGGCGGCACTTGGCCGCGTCCTCGCTGTTCCTGTCCAAGCACTCCCAGAGCTCGTCCCGCGCTCCCCAGCACGCCTTCCTCTCCTCCATGTTCGGCGCCGACATCCTTGCTGCGCGTTAAAAAGGCAAGGACAGGGCGCCAGGCGCAGGTGGGCGGCCGGCCCCGCGCTCCGACGGCCGCAACGGCTCCAACGGCCCCTCCGCCGAAGGTCACAACCCCGGAAGCGCTGCGGCGCCGCACGGAGCTCTGCCTAGTGCGCACGCGCCGCCTCCGTGAGGGGMGGGGGGAGCGACCCTGCCGCTGATTGGTCGAGATGCCGTGTGCCCCGCCCCTGGGCGTGGCCACGGCGCGGGGCCGGCCCCCGCCCCGTCAGCCGGTCACGGCGGGTGGCGCCGGGAGCGGAGCTGGGACCGGGATCGGGAGCGGGCCGAGCGCCTGAGAAGGCGCCCCCGGCGCCGCGAGGGGCAGGCGGCCTCGGCGCCCCCTGGGCTGCGGGCCGAGCCTCTGCCCTTCAAAGGGGCGTGCTGGGAAACGCGGCCTTTGGCTGCGCCCGCCCGCCCAACGCGAAACGGGAAGCGCGCGGCACGGCGCCCACCGGCGGCTCGGAACGGGAAAACGCGCCAACCGAACCCTCGCCTTTGCCTTGAGCTCTGCCAGCAGGCAGCGTGCTGGGAAACTCCAGAGTAACCTTCTGAAAGCTCCAGCGAGGATGTGGAGTCTCCTTCTCTGGAGACCTTCTCAACCCGCCTGGATGCCGCCCCGTGCCCTGGCTGTCCCTGCTGGAGCAGGGGGGTTGCACTAAGGGATCAATGAAGGTCCCTTCCAACCTCAACCGTTCTGTGCTCCTGTGATAACTCCAGATTAACTCTTCTAAACCTGGGAGCCCCGCAGTCCGGTTGCAGCGGGGTCTGCGCCTTTACCTCGTGCTTCCCGCTGCCGCGTTGCGGTTCGTGCCTGGCTTCGGGAGAGCACGTCGTGAGCAGCAGCAGCAGCAGCAGCAGCAGCAGCAGCAGCAGCCCCGGGTGCGCCGGGCCCCGGCGCAGGGAGGTACTGGGCAGCGTCCCGCTGGCAGCCTGCACAGCGGCAGCGTGTTCCCGCGGCTGGGAGCTCACTGTCGTTGCTCTGTAGCTCCGCCACTTCTAACCCCCTCTGTATCATAAAATCACAGAGTGGTTGAGGTTGGAAGGGACCTCTAGAGATCATCTAGTCCAACCTCCCTGCTCCAGCAGRGACACCCAGAGCACGGGGCACAGGGCGGCATCCAGGCGGGTTTGGAAGATCCCCAGAGAAGGAGACTCCACAGCCTCTCTGGGCAGCCTGTGCCAGGGCTCTGTCACCCTCACTATCAGGAAATATTTCCTCAGTTCCTGTGGAAGTTCTGGTGCTTCAGTTTGTGACTGTTCCCTCTAGTTCTATCAGTGGCCACCACTAAAAAGAGGCCTAACCGTGACTTTGACAGCGAGGGAAGAGTCTCCAGTCAGGCCTTCCYGCCCAGCTGCAGCATGCCCTGTGGCACCTTGCATTTGTGATTTAGCCGAGTGCTGCCRCCCTATACTGAAAACACAGGACAGGGCTAGGTATACACACAGCCAAAAAGAGAGCTATGGCAATGTAGGGCTCAGTCCCCATACCCTAGCTGTGATTGCCGTTCCTGGTCTCTCTCATACGTCCATTGCCACCACGCTGGACACGCCCAGTAGCCGGGCGGGAATGTGTGTGTC